ACCGGGGCTGGTGGGAAGGGTTGATGCCGCATCATAACCTTTCTCCTAGTCTCTTCACTATGCACCAAGGAGTAGGGTTGAGACAAGGTCACACTGTCCCTTGTTAGTATCTGCTGTCTCACAATATCATAATCAGAACTCAAACCAACTAGGAATTCAAACACCCTATTAGTCTCAACTTGCTTTCTATGAGTCTGTGCATCCTTCTGACTTTCCCACTCAAGTGTTTCCAGATGGTCAATTTCATGCCACAGAGATTTCAAAGTAGAGAAGTAAACGGAGACCGGTTTCTCTCCTTGCTTGAGGTTATTAACCTCACACTTCAATTCATAGGCTCTATCAACATTAAGGGGTTGGGAGTAGGTCTCTTTCATGACCTCCCAGATTTCCTTGGCTGTTTTTGCCCACAAATAGTTTCGGTTGATATGTGACTACATAGAGTTGCACAACCATGTCATAACCAAGTAGTTCTCCTGAACCCACTTGGTATACAGTTGGTCCTCCTTGGATGGTTCTTTCACATCTCTCAATAGGTAGCTAAGTTTTCTTCTTCCCCCAATAGCCATCATGGCCGATTGGGCCCATTCTAAGTAGTTGGAGCCATCAAACCTCACAGTTGTAATCTGAAATGCAGTCTCAGACATATTACCAGAATTGCTAGTCCCAAAAACACCTTCCCCTTGATTCTTGAACTCCATTCTTGGTTAAGAATTAGCAATCAAAAGCCGTTAAAGCTACTGTAATAGAACAACTGATCACAGCCAGATCTGATCTGAAACTAATCGACAGTTCTGAATTTAAACAGTCCAATTCTTGATAAAGGTTCTCACCCCAAAAACAGGCTTTGAAGCCAAAACAAGTCTAGAACTCACTTAGAAAACAATCTGGAATGCTGAAACAGATTTAGGGTTTGATCGTAGGGTTAAGGAAATCTTTGTGAGAACAAAACAGTGCTCAGCCGCACCTTCCAAATAGGTCCACAGTCAAGTCTGGTCGTAGGGTTAAGGACAAACCCTAGAAAAAGCCAGAGAACTCTGATCACCTCTGAGAAAATAAAGGAGAGCTCAGCCGCTCCTCCTAGATAAGTCCAACCTATCTTTGACTGATGACGGTCTCAAGAAAAGATAAAAACTTACCCAGAAAACTCTAATCGCCACCTTCAATCTTGGCCTAAACCCTAATATTGATCCTTTTGACCTTCTCTGATTCTTCCTGATTACCAAAACACTCTCCAAGCCTCTACAAGCCTTTGGACAGCTGCTAAACCTTTCTGGTAACCTCCAAGAATCAGCCAACGAACAGTTCTTTCTAAGCTTCCAGCCCTAGGCAATTCTCATGTGGTCGGCTGGACTAGACACACATGAGAAACCCTAGATTGGCTCTGATACCAAGTAGTCGATCAAGACTACAATCAGTCTTGAATCCAAAAGTAAAAAGGGTTTCAGATGGAGAAAAGAAGAAGAAGAAGAAAAGGAGAAAAGAGGGAGAAGCAGAAGTACACATGGGTTTTAGAAAAGGAAAGAGAGGGACGGATTGATTAATCTACCGACCCACTCTTAATATTTATATGTTTATTGTAGAAAAAGGCAGAATTGCCATTAATGCTTACATGGCAAATAAACTAATAATAAGGCTGAAATAAACAACAAAACTGAAATAACTACCAACTAACACTGACATAACTAACAAAGAATACATGTTCTGCTGTCATACGAACACAGTGGGGACCACAATTGTGGGGTCCACATCAGTGTTCTCTACACCACAAAACTTTTAAACTCCTCTTAACCCCAAGCTTTTAGCTTCCTCTTCAGGTATTTTAGCCTCTGCTGAAAGCAGAACCCTGCCCAACCCTCCACTTTGCACTCCTCCCACCAGGAAGCTATTTTTTGTTGAAAGTCCTTATGCACAGTCCATACCTTCCCCAACCTAAAAGGCGCCCTTCCCTTCCTAAAGACTTCATTCTGGAGCACTACCGACCAATGAACAGAGATCCAACAAGGCTTAATCTGCAAACAATTGGGAAAGTGTTCCTCCCAATCATTAGTCATGAGGAACCTATCCAATCTGCTACTTATCGCGCATTCCCTCATGTTTGACCAAGTAAAGGAGCCGTTGTTGAGGGGGGGATCTCTAAGGTTGTGCCTAGCAATGAACTCAGAGAAGTCCTTCATACTTCTTGTTACTCTCCTACTATTTGAGCTCTCATTGCAGAATCTTGTGACATTGAAATCACCACCAACACACCAGGCAAGGTCATCAAACTCATGCAAGGATCCAATTCCTCCCATAACCTCCCTCTCTGAGAAGGAGAATTTGGCCCGTACACTCCAGTCATGATCTAGTTGAATCCATCAAAAGTATTTGTGAAAAGGACTGAGACAGTAAACTCTCCTTTGTCCACTTCTATTCCAGTAATCACCTCTTCTTTCCACATAATTAGAACCCCTCCTGTTGTTCCCGTTGCAGGGAGATCTACCCATTTTCTTCCTCTAATTCCCCAAATTGCTTTAATCAAATTTCTGTTTATTACTTTTTTCTTTGTTTCTTGTAAGATCACTATGTCTGGGTCTTCTCTCCTTAGAGTATCTTTCACCAAACTTCTCTTCAAATTCCCTCCAAGCCCCCTTACATTCCAACCTAAGATCTTCATGATTTGCCTACACCTTCCTTTCCCTTAACTAACCTTCTATCAGTGCTGTTTACAGGCCCAGTTCCTTGGTCAACAAAGCCCCATTGAAGTCTCTTGAGCTCTCTATTTGTCCCTTTCTTTACCCCAACTTCCAACTTTTTCCCCTTGCTGCTTCCTTTTATCCCTATCTGCTGCTTAGTACCTTCCCCATTTTTCTCTTAATCGGCAATATTCAGGCAAGTCTTCAATGCCAGAGCTTGTTTTGTAGGAACTGGCCAAAGGTTGGGATAGAAGCCTAGCTGTCAAACAACAGTAATAAATGTTTATTCTTGTTTTTCAAGACAAAACCCGTACAAACTTCAATAAATGGCCACAGTACCAAACAACATCCAGGTTTGTTGATCACATATTAAACATTTAGATATAATACTGCCTAATCAACAAAAGAATGCTTATATATATACATATATATATATATATTGTAGAGAACACTGATGTGGGCCCCAAGCTGTGGTCCCACTCTTTCCATAGGGCAGAATGTTCCTAGTCATCCTAGGGTTAGCTGCTGTTATTCTAGTTGTTATTTATTTTTCAGTTTTATATTATTATGTGTTATGTAAATACCAAGGGCAGATGTGTCCTTTCATGTAACTAGCATAACCTATAAATATTAAATAGAAATGGCGGCAGCAGAATAATTTAGATTCTGTCCTTCCTTTCAAGTTTGTGTTCTACTGCTCTCTCTCTTCTCTCTCTCCTCTTTCCTCTACACTTTCTCTTCTTTTCGAACCTGAAATTTCTTAGTGTTCAAGACTGATAGCAGTCTTGAACAACTACATATATATATATATATGTTAGGTTTATACCCTTTTTATCGTTTTCTTCACTCTTTGACCGCTTTTTTTTCATTTTTTTGTTCCACTTTTTTTACTCAATAATTTGATGGTTAAACTGTTGAATTGAACTATCAGCCCAAATAATGCAGCATATAACKCCAGGTACAAGAAAAATCAATCTATACAGAAGCCCAGCCAAGAATAGGGGTGCCAACTGGAAAGCAAAACTGACAGGCCCCTAGAACATAAATCTGAAAGCTAGGGCTGTCAACAGAGTTCAAAAGTACAAAACCCAATCTGAGATCTAACCCAAGTATTTCAGGTTCGGATGATCCATTTACATAAAATGGTCGGAAATGGATCTTAAAAACAGCATACAATTAATAATCAGAGTGGATGTAGATCCAATCCTATTATAAATTTATGATCAATAAATCCATAATTTTGTATTCATATAAATTTTTTATGTTTTTCTAAATCAAAGATGGTTTATTTATTTTTTAATTTATTTCAAAGATGGGTGAATAAATATGAAAATCCAATAGGACCTGAATCCAATATGAGACCCTCTAGATGTGATCAGATTCTGGATTTTATGTTTTTAATAACCAGATTGGACTCAGATGTCACTGGATCCAATCTGAACCCAACCCAATTATGGCCCTACTGATATATACCCTGATTGATTAGAATGTTGCATTCACCCTAAAGAAGAAAAGGTAACATGAAAAATAAGTCCACACCATTATAGCTCTCCCTTTTGGAGGACATGGACAGGTTTTAGGGAAAGGCGTACTTCAATTATTTTCTTGGTGGGAGAAGCACCAATATAATTATAGTGGCCTAAGTTTCTTTGGAACAAGACCTACAATGTCTTAATCACCTCTCCTTCTGTAATTTAACTTTCTAAACTGGTGCAGTGGTGCATGAATACCTTACATTAATTTGATCTATCCATGTGGTGTGAAGCAACTACTTTTCTCCAGGTCTTTGAAATAGGTGCAAAATTGCAGTATGGTTGTATAGCTCAAATCATCACAAAAGACATGGTAACTGGTGTATCATAAGTTAAACTGATAAATGTAATGTAGCAATTCTAGATCCGTGATAGATAAGCAGGAATGACAAGTTTGAAATATTAAAAGTAAACTGCACAAAGTAATTCATTTAAAAGTCCCAAATTCCAAATATGGAACAAAATATTTCCATTATGACTTTAAAAATGGAAAAGAATTAAGGAAAACCTGCCCTCTTGGAGAAATGGTAGCCATGACAATTTGTTTAAGAGATTCTATCTTGCAATTCAGTAATTTACAAATTAATTATACGATAGCAAATGAGTATTGACAACACTTCCCACCATAACCATTATATCTTGAAATCATAGTTTCCAGGACTACTGAAACAAAAGTAGTTTTTTTGATAAGTTAGTGAAAAAAAGTAGTTAACCATTTAAGGTCATCATAATCATGTGAAAATCGAAATAATAACATATCTAATTAAAAGTAAGTAAATGGTAAAAGAATGAGCACCTTAGGAGTATCAGAATGGTTTGTTCCACCAAGATCAGACCTAGAAAATCTACCAGATCTCTCATTAATAAGGGCCACGTCAATGGATGATAGAAGGCCAGAATGTAAGTTTAGCTGCGATATTCCATAGCAAGAAAAAGATATTATAAAGGTTCCATGTATCATAAATATGTAATGAAGATGCTTATCTCAATATACCTTCGTAACCAAATCAGAAGGAAATGAAACACCAACAAAAAATCCAAAGACAGCTCCCATAACAGTTATGGTAATAAGTCTGGCACTGTCGTTTGATTTTTTAAGAACCCCACTGCAAAGCAAAAGGAATAACCAATTACTCTATTCTGAAGGGTATCGTTATGAGCAGAAAACTTAAAAGTATCTACAGGGTACTAGAAAAGCAGACCCAAAGATATTCTGTAGCAGGTTAAAACTAGAAAAGAAAAGGGATTTCTAATTAAAGTCTGTAACCCATACACACCTTCGGTGGATGGTCCCCATATTGGTTGTCACTAAACTCACAAGTCACACCAACGGTATTGACAGAAGAGTAGAATATTGTGCCAGACTCAAGAACAAAATTTGAATCAAACGTAGCATTCTTGAACAATGAATACTGCGCTCTTTCTAGAAATTGCAATAATCTTCGATAGATTGAAACCACGGCAAGTCCTGATTAAAGCGGAGAGAAGTCAGAGCTCTAAAGTAACCACATAAATAGCTATTTTGGGTAGAATTGTATATGGTAGAAAGAACTTTGAACTCCCTCACCACCACACTCAACCGTCTTTTGGAAAGTTTATAAACCGAAAATGAACTATTTTTCTCAACACAAGAATTCTCTTAAGTGTTAATAGCGTACAATAAATAGCTATATTGTCCATTGTATGTTAGGGGATATTACTTAGTATAAAGGCATCTCGAGCTGTCAAGTGAAAACGTGGYTTCGAGTCCCCTATCCAATCCACTCCTTCCAAGACCCCAGATGGCCGGGACCAACATTAGGTCAGGTTTTTTGTTTCAATAGTCATTTTGTTCAAGTATAAGCAATACAATGTCTGGAATCAGAATTGCAAATAAAAACCCCGTAGACGACATAGATATCAGCAAGTTATATACAGTTCAATTCCTGGATTTGCATCAAACATAAGTAAAGGGCTTCTCCTGACAGCGGTATTTTTACGCAATGAAGAATAACATCCAGAGACACGACTTTAGCGAAAAAAAAGAAATCCAGAGGCATTCCAAGTGGACTGATCAAGGATATCGCCAATTATGAACACCAAACACAGGCTATGAATGGTTAAAACATAAATTGAATGAATCAGATCAGAATACAACTGAAAGAAAGAATTCTGGTAAGTGGAAAAGATTACTACATCAATAAGGAAATCGTAATCGGCGAAAGTCGAAAAATAAGAGTAATAGAAAATGGCCCTTCTCAGTAAACCCTAGAACATCAAGAAAATCTTGTTAAAAACAAATCGGATTTCATATTCACAGGTGGATCTTCTGGGAATCGCTGATCGAATAACAAACTACTAAAATTAAAACTATGAATATACGAACAGTGGATAAAAATCTGGGACGAAATTTGGAGAAATTATGGTTAGGGAGCTTACGAGTTTCATGGATTGTTTGACAGGAAAACAGAATCGTTGAGCAGAATGACGACTTATTTCTTTCTCCTTCTTCTTGAAATGGGATTATGGGTTCAGTAATATATTAGAAAAAGAGCGGAAATTAGAAAAGAACAGATGCTACCAATATGCCCTTAACTCAAATTCAAATGTCCAATTTGGTGACTCTGCCGGAAGTTGCCATCAACCATCAAATCCAAATGCTCCCGAGTCCCATCACTTGCAGTTTTCTGTCTCCCGAGTCCCATCACTTGCAGCCCTGGTGGCAACCACTGTACTACACGTGTCGCAATTGCATTTCGCCCTTGTTTTTTTAAAGAGACAAATAAATAAATAGACGGGTTAATTCCTGAATACTCCCTCAAGTTTCTGACCGTTGCTGAAAATTCCTCTGAATTTTCATCATTATAATTATCGCCTCTGAACTTTTTGCTAAAGCAGCAAACCCCCTCTCTTTAGAATTCTCTAACCAAGCCGAAAGGTATGAAAACGTCCCGTACAATTACTATTAGGTTGTGATGATGCGCAATCCGGTCGGTCCTAGCTGCTGGTAACCTTGCTTCTGACGGAGCTGAAGATGCCTGAAATATGGAAGAAACTAGAGATTTCCGGGGAAGAACCCGGTAGGAACACTCCAAAACTCAAGTTAATATTCTTGAGAAGGCAAGGAAAATAAGGGATTTCAAGACCATAAAGCACAAATATCACATACCTCTTTCTCTCGGGGAGGAAGGCCTTTTATAGCCACCTGGTACACTTACTCCCAAATTTCTGCCAAGTCAGGTATAACCGCCTATGGGGGGCAGGCATAACCGCCACTGTCTCCTCTGTCAGGGCCGCCTCTGCCACAACTGGGATGGCGGTGGCAGGTGGCCGTTACGACATGATTGCCATCTGTCAGACCCAGACCAGTCAGACGTGCTGCCTCGAAGTACGGATCCGTCAGACATGGTTTCACAGCCGCGCGACTTGGAGCCGAGGTGCCGGAGTGGTGCGCGAGGTGAAGTCTTGAGTTCGGATGTGTAGGTCCTACCGTCCCGAGGTGTTGGCATATGGTTCAAACTGACACGAGGTGGACTAGTCTGGGCCTTGCCCCTCGCGGGCTTCGCTGTTAGCCTCGGGATCCTTTAGGGAGAGCTCGGGTTTCACTCCCAGAAAGCATGGGTTCCTCTTGAGGAGCTCGGACCTCTTCTTGGGGAGCTCGGGCCTCTCTTTGGGATACGGCCGCGCTACGTCACCGTGCCAACCTGGCGTTCCTGCCAGGTCACCCCATCTTTTTCCACGTGTCGCACAGCCAGGGGGTCGGGCCAAATCTACCTCCATCAATTGCCCCCCACTCCCCATGCCCGGGGTCTTGACCCAGCGTGGGGAGTTCACGGACTAACGGGTAGATTTGCTCCGTGGCATGCTTAATCCAGTTCAGAGATTCCCCGGTTTGACCCGCTTATGTTCTTGGCTCAACCAGGGTCAGCGCGGCTCGACCGGAGTCAGCCCGGGTTGCATACAGCTCACATGCGGACGTCAAACGATTTATCAGCTATCGGACGTCAAAAATTTGCGCTAAACTGATTTCACCTCGGGGGTCATGCAGTCGGTTTTCCTGAGAGTCGGATGGCTTTGATCTCTATCGTTGATGCGCGGGTACAGCGGCTATAAATAGTGGGGTCCCTAGTCACTTTTCCTTCGCCAATTTTCAACGATCATTCCTTGAGCTCGCGTCACTTTCCTTAGTTCGGTAGCGTTTCCCTTAGTGAGTCCCCTTAGCCTTTTCAAATTCCTTTCCTTTTCCTTTTGCGATGTCTAGTTTGAGTAGCTCGGGAAGCTTAGATAATCTTCTAGAAGGGCCTGAGGCGAAGACCTCGGGCCGGGCTGACACCTTTGACAGCCTTCTAGATGAGCCCGAGGTAAGGCCTTCAACCCGGGTCACCCCGGGTAKCCTAGAGTCCACTTCGCGTCGAGTTCAGATGCCGAACACGTTCGGACCTTCCACTATGATGTCTAAGAGGCTTCGGTCCCTTGTTCGTTAGTTCAACCTGCCCGAGGAGTATGCATATAGCTTACCTTCGGGCAACTTCCCTTGGGAGCATGGTCCAGATGAGATCGTGGTCTTCCGAGAGCAGCTCATTGCCAGGCTGCGCCTTCCTCTTCACCCCTTAATCGTCGAAGTCTTGAACCACTTCGGCGTCTCAGTAGGTCAGCTTCACCCGAACTCTATTCGCAACATTGTCGGGACCATATCCCTCTGCTGCGAATATGTCATCCCTTTGGAGTTGGAGATTTTTTCTGCTCTTCTCATGCTTAAAAAACAAGCGAGCTACCTTCCCGAGCACAGGTGGGCTTACTACCTGTCTCCCCGCCCGGGATTCAAACTTCTTCACAAGCTTCCAAACAAAGTCCCGGCGTGGAAGCGGGACTACTTCGTGGTTTGATATGCTATGGGGTGGCTGTTTCCTACGCATTGGAGGGTGGCTGTCCCTGATCTCGGCGTCATGTTAGATAAAGACATAGCGAAGACCTTTCAGTCCTAGGCCCAGGTCAGGCTCGAGTGCGAAGAATACCTCTCAGAAGCCAAGCTCATTCAGGTCGGTCTGAGTCCAAGTAGGCTTCTTTACTTAGTTTTTTTTTATTGTCGTACTGATGCCGAGCTCCTTTTGCAGGTATCATGGAAGCAGAGAAGACCCACGGTGCCAACTTACTTGACGGAATGAAGAGAAGGAAGCGGGTCACCAAGCGAGCTCGTGTGGATTCTCCTCGGGCCATGGAGCCTGAAGTCCCGAGCCAGCCTCCGACCATCAACTTGGACTCTCCCAGGGAACCCGAGGCGGTGGGACCTATCCCCGAGATGGCAGCAGAGCCTGGCGTTGCAGAGGCTTAGGAAGCTGAGACTACAGAGGCTTCTCGAACCCCAACTGTATTTTCCAGCTCGGGGAGCTAGGAGGGGGTTGGCAGTGTGCTGACTCCGAGCTGTGCTCTTCGCAAGAGCCAGAAGGTTGTTTACCCAAGCGAGGTCGCGGCATGGTCCGGGCTCCCTCCCGGTCACATCGGCGCACGTGCAGCGACTCACGTTATGGTGGTAAGTTGTCGAAGTCTTCCCTTAGTGCTTTTTTCGTTCATTCTTTTACTTTCTTGTCGAACTGAGTCCTTGCTTGGCAGGCGAACTCCTCCATTCACGCCCTGATAATTCAGTCATAGAGGAGCCTGAAGCGGGCACAAGCTGCCGAAGAGGGTTTGGGGTCAGCTTGGGAGCGGGCGCAAACTGCCGAAGAGGCTCTGCGATCAGTTTGGGAGCGGGTCCATCACCTTGAGGGTGAGGCTTTGGCTCAGAAGAGTGAACTGGAGAGACTCCGGAGGGAGAATGACGCCCTGAGGCTCGTCGTGAAGCACCTCGTGACCTTGAAAGGTGGTATGGAGCACGAGGTGGAATACCTCAAGGCCGACATCAAGGAGAAGTCTGAGATATTCTTTCATGCCCTTGAGGATACCAAGGTGAAGGTCGTCGACGACTACATAGCGTCGGAGCGCTTCGACGACCTGATGGTGTTCTCATACCGGAGGGGCTTCAAACTGAGTCGGTGGATGATAAGGCACGCCTACCTCAAACTTGACATTCGTGCCATCACCACTTTGCGTATTACTCCGGAGATGGCTGTTGCGGCTGATGAAGATCTGGATTCTGACGACGAGGTTGACCCCTCGAGTGTTGCTGAGGTCCCTTCTGAGGGTAAGGGGGATGCAGCCCCGAAGTGATGTATATCGGGCCTGCGAGCTCATTTTTCTTTTTTTTTTTGAACACTGTAAAGCACACATTAGTAATGAAGTATTTTTTTCTACTTAAGTGTTGTGCAACTATTTCTCTTTTGCCGAAGTGATTATATTGCCAAGCTACATAGAATTAGGTCCCCGAGACGAGGGGATTCCATGAAGCGAGTTGACATAGTAAGGCTATATACCCGATCTATTCTCTGCCTGGCTTGGAGCGAACTTCACACCCCAGGTTTCGTACCCGTGCTGCCTGCTCTTTTGGCACTAACACTTAGTTTGCGCTGATGAGGTCCCGAGGTCATCCTCAGCTCGACGCTTTAGCACTTAGGACATTTTCTTAGCTTTTTTGCCCATGCCGGAGAGGTGACCGGGTCATGTGGTGTCGAGGTCTTTGTTACTTCGGCATTCTGGCCCTTGGGCTCTTGGGAGCGGCTTACAGTCTGCCCAGTTTGGTAACTTATAGGTAATATCGACTTAGGTTGACGATGTTCCAAGCTTGGGGTATTTGCCTACCCTCCAGGGTCTCGAGTTCGTATGCTCCTTCGAATGCTCTCTTTATTCGGTAGGGTCCTTCCCAGTTCGGCCTGAGTTTTCCAACGCTGGGCTCAGGTACCATGACCCTGCGGAGAACCAGGTCGCCGACGCGAAAGTTTCGCTTCTTGACTATGGCATTGTAGTACCGAGCTACCCTTTGCTGATATGCCGCGGTCCTGATGTATGCGAGGTCCCTCACTTCGTCGAACAGGTTGAGGTTGGTACGTAGCTCGTCGTTATTGGTATCGTCGCTGTATGTTTCCAACCGAAGTGAGGGGATTTCAATTTCGGCTGGGATGACTGCCTCCGTGCCATAGGTGTGGTTGAAGGGGGTTTCTCTGGTGGCGGTTTTCTCTGTAGTTCGGCATGCCCATAGAATGCTGGGCAGCTTGTCCGCCTAGAACCCTTTAGCTCGGTCTAACCTGGCTTTTAGTCCGCGGAGAATAGCTATGTTCGTGACTTCTGTATGATCGTTTGCTTGTGGGTGCGTGACCGACGTAAGTTTTGTCGGATCCCCATGTCTTGGCACCACTCTTGGAATCTGATGTCTTCGAACTGCTTGCCATTGTCGGAGATCAGTATCCGAGGTAGCCCAAAGCGGCACACTATGTTCTTCCATAAGAAGTTCTGGACGTTTCGAGCTGTGATTGTTACGAGAGGTTCATCTTCAACCCACTTTGTGAAGTAATCTACCGCCACTACTAGGAACTTCCTCCCACTCGTTACTGGCGGGAATGGTCCAAGTAGATCGATGCCTCACTGTGCGAAGGGCCATGGGCTGGTGAGATACTTTAGGTCAGCGGCGGGATGGTGGTGAATATTGGCGTGCTTCTGGCACTTATTGCATTTCCTGATCAGCCTAATGGCGTCTGCTTTCATTGTTGGCCAATAGTACCCCTGCCGTAGTGCTTT